CCCCCGCTCCGCCCCTGCCTCCCCCCCACCTGCAGCCTCTCCCCAGGCGTGGACAGCAGCGTCTTGACCAAAGTGGTCTTGCCCAGGCCCGAGTCCCCCACGATCAGCACCTTGATGTACTTCTTCTTCCAAATCTGCACAAAGGAGCCAGGCGCACGCCAGGGTGCGGGCGGCGGGGGCGCGCGCCATGTGCGCACGTTCGCAGGGCGAACGCCGTGTGGGGGCTGTTGCCATGCCGGCGGCGCGTCGAGCGCTGACGAGGCGGCCGCCTGGCGGCCCGTCCCTGCCCGCACCGGCGGCGCTGCTGGGGTCGCCGGGGCGCGCACGCCGGAATGACGCGCCTGCTCCCCGCGCGTTTCACCCTGCCAGATGCTGTCGGCTGTCGGGCGCAGCAAGGCGCCCCGCGAGCCGCGTCCCGCGCACACCTTGTGAGGCCGCGGCCGCCTGGGGCCCAGCAGCGCTGCCTGGCTGGCGCGCGCCGACGCGCTGGCGTCGAGGAAGCGCCCCGATAGGCTGCCGCTCATCAACGCTTGGCCTGGAGGCGCGCGCAGCAGGCGATGCGACCCGCTGCCTTTGGGGATGGCGGTTGGGGTTTGGCACGGCGCTGCGCAACCCCCTGACGCTCTGAGATCAACCGTTGAAGCTGCCTGCCAGATCGATTCATTGAGCTTTTGAGCCTACCCAGCTATGCAGGCGATTGTGATAACCTGCGTGAGAGGACCCTGCTGCTTGCCACCGCCCGGGAGCTCACCGTCGTGGCGCAGCTGCCGCCCGTCCCCACCGTTGCCATAGTATGCAGCCTCCAGGGCACTCTGGCTATCTGTAAGAAGCGCCCGCAACCCAGTGGGTGCGATAGAGGTTTGGTTGCCAGACGAGGCGGCGCCGGGCGATTCATGCACACGTAGCAGGCATGAGCGGGTTTCGGTGCGCTGCCCGGCGCGCCTTCACCCACCTGCGATAGAGGGCGCATGCTTGCCGGGACTTGGTTGGTCCGCACTGCCCAAACGCGCGTCCATGCTGCCTTGCTGCGCCTTGCAGATCGGTGTAGGGGATAGCTGGCTCTGGACAAGAATGCTGCGATCACACGATAATCTGATTAAGATTGATTCTTAGCTGGTTGCCAAGCAAGCGAGGCTTCTGGCTTGCAGCTGGCAGGGAGGAGAATGGCGCGAGAAGCAAATCAAACTGCCTCGCACGGCGGAAATGGGCGGTTCAATTGTGGCCAATTCATTCTTCCATCTGCATGCTCTCTTCATGTTGCCGGCTGCAGTAAAGCTGAGCGAAGGGGGGGAGGGCTCAATTTTCACTTGCCTCCACAGCACAGCACAGGCAGCACAGCCATTTGCCTTGCCCGTGGCCCCTGCGTGGCCCCGATTGCACGCGTGACCATACGGTAAATCGAGGCTTTGCATCGAGTTCATGTGGCTGCGCTGGTCCTCATGCAACAAACACAGGTGCCGTCACCAGGTAACAGAACCGGGGTGTGCGCATGTGAACCAGTAGTGCGGATAACGGGGGTATTCATACGCCAGCCATAAGCCCACTGCTGCCACCACTCATGAGAGGTAACGTAAGTATGTATGACAAGGCACATGCCACGTGAGGGGCTGATTCTGCTGCCTCCCTGATGCATGCATGAAACGCTCGTAAAATGTACCTGCGGCAGGCAATTGCTGTTCCAATATGCCACATGAATCTCTCATGTGTGCGCCTGCGTTTTGGGTTGCCGGCGCAGCAGACCGCTGAATGATGCAATCCAGCAGTCAACCGTGCAAGCGGCGGCGCAAATCAGTGCGGCGGCTGGCGGTGCGCATGCAACTGCGTTTTTTTTGGGTAAAAGCACAGTATTCTGAGCCTGAAACTGCAGATGAACCGGTCCTGCGACTCTTGCTAGTCCCCGCACGGAAGGTGGGACAGTCCACATCTTGTCATGCCTGCTCGAGTGAGCATGCAGACCAGGCTTGCGGTATGGCCTGTGCAGCAGTAGCGATGCAAAGGGGAGTGATATGGTGATGGCAGGCTGGCGACTTCAGTGGCTCTGGAGCGACATGAGCTTCCTGGACGGGCAGAAAGCTGCGTCCCGTAGATTGACATTGTCGAGCCAGCTGTGCGACACTGGGGCGTCCAAGGGGGTTAGCCAGTGCCGTGCTCGATCGCGCGCGTCCAGAGAACGCCGACAATGAACTACGACTGCATATGCTGCCAGCACCAGACCGTGCCATGTCGAGGCAGAACGGCGGCCCGACAGGTGTATGAGGAGGCTGCTCTCTGGCCATCCCATAGCTGCCACGTGCAGAGGCTCCGAGAGCGGCGACAAGGAGCCTAAAAAGCCGCAAGCAGGTCTCAAAAGCTACGACTCAACGCAGCTGGCTGGCAGTCCGGGCAGAAACGCGTTCAAAGCGCGCTCTTTTCGACAATGCCGCACCTCAGCGTCAACCCCCGCACGCGGCGCCACAACCGCGATGCAAATGCGGATGTCAGAATGCCAATACACACCCGAAAGCGCCTTCCGCGCCTCCCTGGGCAGGCAGGCAGATCGTTGGAATTGTTCGAGCTCGCCATTAATTGCCAAGCCCTCCATTGCCCTTGCACTCTTCCAAGCTCGCTCAATCGCACTTCAGGAGCCTCCTCCTTACCCCCCAGCACCTATCACAATGGCTCTCAGCATGAAGAGCGCCGTGGCGCGCGTGCAGGCCAAGGCCCCCGTCGCCAAGGCCAACAAGATGATGGTGTGGCAGCCCGTGAACAACAAGTGAGCGCGCGCGGCCAATGCGCGCCTGGGCGCTGGTCCGGGCGACTAGCATCGCAACGAAGGCGGCCCCCCGGGCGATTGCTACTGCGCCTTCCACGGGCTCCCACGCCCCAATTATGGAAATGTGGTCGTAAATGGCGTCATTCCGAGGCCGTGGGGGGCGACACACCGGCGGCGGCCGTCGTTCCGGCGCCTCCCGCGCAGCCCCTGCGCGCGCCGTATGGGCCCAGCGTTGTCCAGCCACCTGCCCATTGGGCCCTCACCCATGCAAATTATGCTTAACTCATCCAAACCCCTCCCTACCACCCCCAGGTTCTTCGAGACCTTCTCGTACCTGCCCCCCCTCAACGACAACCAGATCGCCCGCCAGGTTGACTACATCATCAACAACGGCTGGACCCCCTGCCTGGAGTTCGCCGCCCCCGACTCCGCCTACACCTCCAACACCAACGTCGTCCGCATCCAGAACGGCGCCACCTGCGTGAGTGGCCCCTGCAATGCCGCGGGTGTTGGACTTGACCATTGGGAATTTGCCACTTGCAGTGCACTGGTATTCCCTGTTGACCGGCCAGCGGAATACATGATTGCTGGCTTGTACGCAGAGCAGCTTGTCACCGCCTGCAGGGGCTCACGAGCAGGCTGTTAGTTGCGCAACCTAGCAGCCCCACCCTAGTGACTGTGGCGATCCATCTTCGGGGCTATGCCAGCGTCCCTTGCTGTGCTCATCTGACACCCCCCCCCCCCCGGGACTCAAATGCCACTCCAGAACTACTACGACAACCGCTACTGGACCATGTGGAAGCTGCCCATGTTCGGCTGCACTGACCCCAGCCAGGTGGGTGGCGCCCCCAAGCCGTAGCGCCCTGCTCTCGCGCATTTTCGTGGCATTTTTCTTCTTGCTGTGTGAGCAGGCAGGCGGTCGATTGTGCTCTATCAGAGCCTTGAGCCTAGGGACTGCTGCCGTTGGTCATTCGATTGACTCAGCTTGATCCCCAGCAGCGCCCATCTCAAGCACCCTCCCCTGCCTCCCCCTTGCCACCATACCGCAGGTGCTGAAGGAGATCGCCGCCTGCACCAAGGCCTGCCCCGACGCGTACATCCGCATGGCCGCGTTCGACGCCTCCCGCCAGGTGCAGGTGACCTCCATGCTGGTGCACCGCCCCACCACCGCCAAGGACTGGAAGGCCCCCGACAGGCGCCAGCTGGCCTAAGCTGGAGGCCCGCGCATGGTTGAGACCTTCTCCCTGCGTCGCCTTCCCTGATTTGCTTGCGAGCGAGCGTTTACCCAACCACCTGTAACAACCTCGTTACACATCATGTGCGCTCCCTCTGCCAGCCTCGCGCGCTCATGCGCGCTGTTGCAAGTTGGGATAAGCATGAGTGCCCGGCTGTTTCCGAGTTCGTTTTGCCCTTCACACCCTCGCTCGTTCCAATGAGCGTGCTAGGGTTGGCAGTGGTGTAACCGGAACCGCCAACCTTATCCATGACTGGCGGGTCCGAAGCTGTATCAGGGTCATCGGAGCGGCAACAGAACGTGAGAGCTCCCCGCACGGCCAAGAACAGGAAGCAAGGAACAAATTCATCCTGATGATTTTGTTGCTCCACAATGAGCCATCCAGCTGGCAGCACTGGTCACACATGCATGGTGCAGACGAAACTGGCAGCTGTAGGAGCAACAACACCCAACTGTTTGGCATTGTGAAATGACAGGGCATGAGAAGGCACGGTTACACCCGTTTGCCTAGCCACCTGCTCCTCAGGCTGCTGCTGCTGCCAACATCTTGTTGAGACAGGCCCCCAGTTGCCTCCCCGCCGCGTCCGCCAGCCTCCCCCACAGGTGACACCTGCTGCAGCCCCGATGCTGATGCGCTCGCTCGCAGCCGGTCCTCAATGAATGCGTCTGGGAAGAGCACCTCCCTGAAGTTTGCCCACACAGATCCGCGATCGAACGGGTTGCTCACCGCAGCCGCAGCCGCCGCCCCGCTGCCTGCCAGTGCTGTGACCGCCCCCGCACCCACGCCCGCGTCAGCGCCGCCGCCGCCGCGCCGCCGCACGGCGGCCAGCTCCCGCAATTTCGCCGCCTCGTAGGTGGTGGTGCCCGCGGCGATGATGCTCAGCTGGTAGGCCAGGAAGCCGGCCAGCAGCAGCGCGCACACCGCATTGAACATGCCCGCGGCGGCGGCGACGCCGTAAAACACCGCCACGTACTCCAACACCCTGGCAGGGGGCAAGGGTTGAGCCAGCTGTTTGAATCCAGGGGGGAGGTGGCAAGGCGTTTGGGCCGCTGGCGGCCTGCGGGGCACATGGGCATGTGAAAGGGGCAGGAGCCAGTGCACACGCGAGGCAACCCGTGCTGCACCAACGCCCGTCAGAGCCCGCGCCTCTGGTTGCCGCCCCAACAGCCAGCAGACTCGGCCCGCCCCGTTGCCCAGTCGGCCTCGGTGCAGGACCCAAACCCCGCACCTGGCGGGCCGCTGCGCCACGGGCACCAGGCGGCCCAGCTGTCGGTCAAACACGTATATATCCAGCACACCGCGCCGCCGCAGGTCCCCCGATATCGCCGCGCAGCAGACCGCGGCCGCGTACGCGCAGAGGACGAGGTTGGAGACCAGGAATGCCAGGAAGTGGCGCGTGTTGTGAAGGCCGACGCAGGCGTTGATCCAGCCGCAGTGGTGGTCGAGGCGCGCGACACAGCTGCGGCCGGGGCGCGGCATTGTTGGAGTCGAGATGCAGGCCAAGGGCCGGCCGCTGGAGCTGCGAGCTCGAGCGCGGAGCTCCTTGGAGCGCCACGCGACGTGCGTTGTGCGACAGCAAATGCAACTGGCACCTGGCCGTTTGTACCAGGGCGGCAGAACGTGCCGCTTGACTGGTCCAAGTGTATCCTCCACACTAACTAAATCATCGCCCGTTGGAAAAGTCTCCATCAGGGCAGCACGAAAAAAGAATGCCTGCTGGCACGCAGCGTGCCGTGGGCAGCGCCCACCGCCCGCCGTTCACGCGCCCGCACCTTCCGCACGCACGGCAGTGCTTGGACCGCGCCGGTCGTGCAAACCCGCATGTCACGCACGGCCTGCCGTCAAACAGCGCCCCGTCTGGCGGGTAGGCTGCCAGATAGCGCGCCGCGTTGTCGGGCGTGATGCGGCCCGGATCTGCCCTGCTGGCTGCAAAGAATGCGGCCACGGCGATGCACAGGGTGGCGGTGCCCGTGACGCTGCGGCGCGGGAGGCGGAGCGTGGTAGTGAAGCAGTCTGTCATCACGATCGAGGTGCTTTGGCAGATTAGCCAAACAGTGATTGAGCCACAGCCAGTGTGAGGCAATTTGTTTGTGTTTGAACGCTGCCAGCAGCTGGCCAGGGGAACTCAAAACCACGCTAGACAAACACTGGCTGAATGAATGTACACAACACTCAACACGCAAGGGTGTGTTTGCGGTGATGGGGGTGTTGACCGGCGTTGCTGCGGTGCAGGGTGTGTGCATGGCGCTCACATGTGATAGGAGGGAGCTGAGTCGTTGGGCATGAGCCTGAACACGAAGGCCCAGTATATGAGGTAGGAGCCCGCGACAGCGGAGAGGTACACAATCTCGTTTTGGGGGGTTGGGGTAGATGTGTTATTGAGGACGAGGGGCGCCCCGCGCGGTTGGGAGAGGTGCTGAGGAAATCTGCAAGAGAGGGGCCGGCAGACCTCGCGCCGAAGCCTCCGTCGCTACTAAAGAATTCAGATCCTCACGACTGCTTCGCCGCACTGCTGTCATGCCGGCGCTCATTGCAGCATCAAGTGCGACCGTTGGCCCTGGGCTCGAGGCCCTCGGCACGGCGGCGTCCGCCCTAGCTCGGGCCCGGACACGGCTTCACCTGCAGGACAGGATTGGCGCGCTCGCAGCAGCATTCGGCTGCGCTGTCCAGCCATCGCGAGCCGCGTGCTCCCAGCGCCCTGCGTTTGCGGGCGGGCGGAGCGCTTACGGCGTGGCTGGATGCATTCGCCAGCAGCAGGCACCGTGAGTGCTGGCACCGCCATTGCAGAGGAGGCAGCGACCAGCTGCCCATCTGTTCTGTTCAGAGCAGGGGCACTGCGACGCTGCAACGTCGCTCCCGAATCGACCTGCTGCCCACCAATAGCACTCTGCTCACCGCTCTACCGCCCACTCGACAGCCTCGACCCAGCCGCGTGTCAGCAGCCAGTGCGCTTTGGCTACCGGGGTACGAGAGAATGCGGGCGCCTCGCCAAACAGCAGCACAAACACAAGGCCGGCTGTGCAGCTGAAGTAGAGGAGCACAAAATGCACAAAGTCCATGGGCAAGACACGCCGACGCCTGCCAGACGGATTGGCGCCAGGCCAAGTGGGGGCGCCGCCGATGAAACAGCGGCCCGCCCCAGCTTCAATGTGGCAAGTGCACTAGGCCACGGCAGCTATGTTCCACCATTACTTCCTCAGTAAGTGCAGATCTGAACAGTGCTAGATCGGATCTGCAAGTCTCTGCGCATTGACATGCAGTCCACATGCTTTTCAACTAAACAGCTCTCATCGAACGTACATGCAAACACAGTCACGCCGCGCGTTCTGACTTCGATACGATACAATTTGCAGCCACCGTACTGTCAGCACTTTCAGAAAGCAAGCATCACCGCAACGTGTGCATCACATGAAATAAGGCGACAAATCTCACAACGTTTGCCCCAATTTGACCCCGCGGCCCGTTGTTGACTCTCAAATTCATTCATGATCAAAGGGAAGTTCCACGCAGGCCCGTAGAAAGGACACAGCCTGTAAGTAGAGGAAGAAGCTGCCACTTTTTGATTCCGGCAGGCGCCACGCGGGCTGCGTTGCGCCACCTTCGGCGCAAGCAGTGCCACTGCGGCGAATGGCCTGCGGCGACATCAGCGGGAATGTGGCGGGCCTTCAACGGGTGCTGAAGCAAATCAAGTACCCTGGCATCGTGGATGAGGTCGGGTGAGTGAGCGGCGTCACCTACGGCAGGTTCTGCATGACATGCACGCCTCTGCCAGTTGCGTGCTGCAGCAGATGGCGTCACAAGCACTAGCAGCCCAGGCAGCAGCAACCACGCCCGCCGTAGTCGCTGCCGGCCCTCTTGCTCACCCTGCCTCCCTCGCGCACCCCGGCAGCCTGCGCTTGGGCGACCCGCTGGCATGCCTGCCCCTGCTGCATTTCGTCCTGCTCAAGTACTCGCGCCACGTCTGCGCCCACACCCTGGCGTGCGGCATCGAGGTGCGCGACTAGGACCAGATCGATTTGGCTGGCCACGATGTAGTTGTGCAGAAGTTGCAGCCACTGGCGATGCTGCGGCCACACCAACGGCGACCTCGTAGTACAGCCTCGACGCCTGCCCGCACGCACAGCTGCTGCAGGCTCAGTGGTTGGTAGCTTTTTTGGTGGGAGCGTTCCCACCACTGGCGTCCGGCATAGACCACGCCAGCACCTGCCGCGCACGCCTGCGGCTCCTCGGCGCGTCGCTGCAGCTGCGCGGCAAGCCTCACCGTTCCTAGCACCGCCCGTACCTCGCGCAGCTGCACGGGAAGACAGATCAGCGCTTTGTGGAGCATGCTTTCCGCCTGATGAGGGACCACCTGGGGGTCAAGACGGCGCTCACGCCGGCGCACTTCTTCTCCCAGGTGCGCCGCGTCGTCGTTTTGCGCAGCAGCGTGGCGGGTGCTGGCAGCCCCCAGGCGATGTGCAGAGTCGCGGTGGCAGGCAAGGCCGCGAGGACTTTATGCGTGCCGGGAATGACGATTGTGATGACGCCTGACGTGGCACGTCGCGGGTATAATACAAATCACCCCAGGGGTTTGCAGAGCGCAAGGTGCTGCTGCTGCGGGACGCGGCGCGCGCGGCCAGGGCCGTCCACGCGGCGGGCGCCAAGCGGGAGCGCATCAGCCAGCAGCGAGTGGCAGCGCGGCAGGTGAAGGGGACTCGCGCGGGCCGCGGCTGCGCGTGACGCGGTCCGCTGTGAACCCGCGGGGCCAGCGCTGCTGTGCTTTGGTCACCCTGCATGCTCCAGGCTGGTGTTATGCAGAAGTGCATGTAGGCAGTGAGAGACACAGCCATGCGCCCGCTCTTGCCTCAGCAGAGCCCGCGACGGCCGTTCCATGAGTGGCAACCCCTGGATGCGAGCGCCGGGGGCAGCAGCGGGCAGGCACCGGGAGCGAGCCCTTCACGGGCGCAGCACAGCGAAAGCGACGACGGCAACGAGGTGTGGGGTGCCCTGCCGCCGTCGCCACCCTTGCGACTGCAGCAGCAGGAACAGTGGCCTGCGCTGGGTGAGATGGATTCGGTGGAGCAGCCACGGCGGGCCCCGCCCGCGCCAATCTTGGCAAAGGGGCAGGTGGATCAAGGGCGGAAACGCCGCACCGGGGACGAGCAGAACGCGCCGCCGCCTCTGCAGCCTGTGGACACTGGGGAGGCTGAACCTTCCCGCACGCGTGTGCAGCAAGCGCCACCGCTGTCACTGGCAGCCGCGGCGGCCGCGGCGGTGGGCGAGCCGGGCGCACGACGTGCAGGCGCGCTTGCGCAGGTCGTGGGCAGCCCGGACAGGGCGGCGGGGGCGCTGGAGGCGGGGGCTATGTCCATGCGACAGCTCGTGTTGCACCGGCCACTGTCCCGCCAGCAGCCACGGCCGGGCTCGGCGCAGCCCCAGCAGCAGCAGCAGCAGCAGCAGACGCAGCAACAGCAGCACTTTGAGCAGCAACAGCAATTGCAGAGACGACTGCAGGAGCAGTTGCAGCAGGAGGTGCCGAAGCAGCAGCAGCAGCAGCAGCACAGCAGTGAGGAGCCACACTGGTCGCACACAGCGGGAGAACGGCAAGCGATGGCGCATGTCGGTCCGAGCCATGTGGGCATTGATGATGGCAGCCCCTCCCTCCACTTGGTCCCTGTGCCCACAAGGCAGCAGCAGAACTCGGGGGCACGGTGGTGGGAACGAGACCAGGGGGGGTTGGATGCAGAGAGAGAGCAGCAGCTGACAGCGGACGATGGGAGGGAGGATGCCGAGCAGCAGCAGCAGCAACAGCAGCAGCAGCAGCAGCCTCAACAACCGCCGCATGGAAACCAGGTTGCCGCACATGCTCCAGGCCTGGTGCCGCAACAGGCGGCCGATGGAGGAAGCGGGCATAGCCTGCAGGCCCTGGGCACTGGCAGTGGGCGCCAGCTGCAGGCCGCGGGAGTTGGTGCCAGCGTCGAGGGCATGTTGCAGGCGGTGGGTGGTGGCGGCCAGCAGCGGGAGGGGGAGCTGCTGGAGGCGTTGACAGTGCGGCTGGCGGCCGCTCATGCTGAGCTGGCACAGCACAAGTGGGTGGGGCCTCGCCCACTGAGCGGAGGGGCAGTGGTTGGTCGGGACCAGGGGAGGAAGGGGGATCTAGCGTGTTTGGTTGCCCCACCAGGCCTTTGGGACATGATGTCGTGCGCTTGGTGCGGTTGAGGAGAAGATTCAGGGGAGCAGTTGGCTGAGCATTCGCAGCCGGCAAGGGGCTGAAACCCGCGAGCCGCCTCGCCCCGCTTCTGCAGGGCCGCGGCGCAGCGGGCCCAGGAGGCGATGATGGCGCGAGTGACGGTGCTAGAGGGGCGCCTGCGCTTCGTCGAGAACCGCCTAGCGTCGGGGCCGGCAGCAGAGGGTGGGGCAGCCGCACAAGCGGCCCTGCAGCTCGCGAGCCAGCAGCAGCAGCTGCAGCAGCACGCGTGGTGGCAGCAGCCGCCAAGAGGCCAGAGCCGCCTCGACGCGCTGCTGCTGGACACAGGCCCGGCAGTGACATCCCCGAGCAGGGGCCGCGGCAGCAGCAGCACGGGGGCGTCTCCCGCTGCCGCGCGCATCGCGCCGGGTGCATCCCCGGGCGAGCCCCTCAGCCCGGCGCCCTCGCCGTGGGGCATTCCCCCTGCAGGATCACAGTGGAGCCAGCGCGCCTCTCCAGTGGGGGCCCTTCTGCCTGGGGCCATGCAATTTGGCGGCGAGCTTGCGGTCACTGCGCGGGCCCCGTGGCACTCGCAGGAGGCCGAGGAGGCGCTGTGGCAGCGCGGCGGCGGCAGCGGGCCGGCCCAGGCGGCGGGCGGCGGCCCGGTGCCGGCCCCTGACGAACAGCAGCACCAACAGCGGCCGCAGAGCACGCAGGCGCTGGTTGACAAGCTGGCCGCTCGCCACGCGGAGGCGCAGGCGTTGCTGCGCCAGCTCCAGGCCGCCAAGGGCCGACCCACGTGAGGGCAGCGCAGAGGGGCGCCGGGGTCAAGCGCGGCCAGGCGGACACATTCTCAAGCAAGACATGGAGGGATTGTCGTGATGCGTCGTGGGCATCTCTTCTGCACGCACTAGAGGGCTCATTGGCAAGGACGCACTGGCCTGTGAGGTCTGTGCACTGCAGCAACTGATCTAACTGATGCACAGGACGGCCGCACGAGCACCGTTGCCCGAGAGCTGCAGAGCGCCGTGACCCGAAAAGTAGCATATTTTGCGACGGTTCAAGGGCTCAAAGGGTCGCTGAAAGGCAACTTGCGAGATCGAGATATCCCCTTGGTCCCTCTAAGCAAACGTTTGAAGTGCCGTTCCTTGTTCAAAGTTGTAAACACACGTTTTCACCCTGGTCGGATACTTGTGTTCAAGGGAGCTCTGTTCTCCCTTTCAAGCAACGCCTTAGGAGTGAGACAGCCCAATTGCAGCAGCTATGAGGGTGCCAGCGCGCTCCCTGCAGCAGCACGGGACACAGGGTGCTACCCACAGCAGGACGCTGCAGGGTGAGCGCGGGGTGGGCACCGCACTTGCACTGGATCGCTTGGATCGGGCTCGCGCGGCTCCCGATCCCATGCACATTGATTAAGAAGATTATGTAAGTGTATCTCGAGGCGGCTTCGGGGCAAGTTGAGCTCCACGAGGCTTGCACGCGCAACAGACTCTCGGCAAGGCTCACCACGGCCTGCACGCACGCCCATTGCGTGCTGATCCGAGCCTGGAAGCACGTTAAAGCGGCTTGGACGGCAGCACCTGCTCCTGGTGGCCCCACTGGGCCGCACTTCCCTGCCCACGCTTGCGCTGACGGTCCCGCCTGAACCCGCCGCGCGCCCACGTCACCCCTTCCCCCGCAGCCCCCCGCCCCGCGCGCGCCGCCCCCCGCCTGTCGCTGCGCGCGGCCGCCACCCAGCAGAGCAGCAGCAGCGACACGCCCGTGGACGTGCTGCGCCGCGAGAACGAGGCGCTCAAGGCCACTATTAGTGAGACCACCGGCAGCATCAAGGAGCTCGAGGGAGACCTCGCCGGCCTCCAGGTGAGGGCGGAGGGGTCTGGATATCAGCCACATAGACAGTCCAGACGAGGCCCGCGCCCCAAGGCGCATGCACGCTGAGGGAGCCGAATGCCAGCCCCCCTCCCCGGCCCCGCACGCAGCCCCGTCGCCGTCTCCCACCCTCCGCCAGCGGCGGCCTGCCGGTCCCCTGAAGGCGTCCTGCGTGGCGCCTCGCCGCGTTGGTCAGCCCCGTGCGCGCGCCGCGCACAGCCCCTGACCAACCCCCGCGACGCTCCTTCCCTCGCCCCGCCCGCCTGCGCTGCGGTGCGCCCTCAGGCTGAGGTGCCCGAGCGCCCCGCCAGCACTGCGGTGGCCACGGCCGACCCCAGCACGCTGCAGCCCGAGGACTTCTGGAGCCCAGCCATCGAGGTACGGCCAGAGGCCGCGCCGCCAGGGCCTGCTTTCCGGCCTCGCGAAGCATTGAAGCGTTGAAGAGCACTGCAAACGAGCGCAGCTGCCCGGCGTTGACCGTGTTGCGCGCGGCGACAGGGGGTCCGCATCCCCCGGCGCCGGAGAGGGCAGCAGCTGTACGTCTACACTGCAGCGACAGCGCCCGCGACGCATGGTTGTCAGGTGCATTCTGATTCGCCTGACGGCCCTCCGCATGCTTTCTGTCGCCGGCCCGTTCTTCAGGTGCCGGATGGTGTGGAGTATGTGGACGAGTACGGGGCCATCACCCCGGTGCCCGACCACGACGGTACTGCGTGCTTCAAGTGGGATGACACGCTCTGGGCCAAGGCGGAGCACTTCAAGGTGCGGGCAGGGGGTGCATGGCGGGCGTGTGGGGGTGCATGGTGGGCACGTGGGGGTGTCTGCATGTGCATGTGTGTGTGGAGGTGTGTGTGGAGGTGTGCTCTTGTAGATGCCTGTGCAAGCATGTGCCCATATGTCGGTATAAGATGACTGGTTGTATAATTGGGGAAGGGTCAAGGGGGTGAGCGTGCACGGCGACGGTGTCCTTGCTAATGGCGGTGTCTGGTGGCCAGGGCCAGCATGACACAGCAAGCGCTGTGCCCCCCAGGGCCGCGCGAGCTCGCCCGTCACCGCGGCTGTTCGATTCCCGGCAGCCGCGCCGCCCCGACTCAGGAATTCTGAGTTCACCTGAAAACCAACAACCTCGAAGAGAGCAAATCTTAAGGAAGACTCCTTAAAGCTCGGCTATGCGAAGCCCCTGACCCCGCGGCCCCGACCCCGCTTGCCCTCACCCCGCGCAGTACCGGTGGAACGTGTTCCGCAACATCCGCAACGCCATAGACCAGAACGAGGGCGGGCTGGACAAGTTCACGCAGGGTAGGGCGGGAAATGTTTACGGCCGCTTCGCCGCGCGGCTGGCTGGGACGGGCGGACAGGGGCGTCTGGGGCCCGCGCGGCGGGGCGCTGGGAAGCGTGGGGGTTTCGGGCACGGCGTGGCGGCCGTGGGCGGGCCGCACGGCTGCGGTGGTGGGGCTGCAGTTGCGTCCCCCTCCATTCACACACACACACATACACACACACACACGCAACCACACCCCTTTCAAAAGGCTACAAGTTCTACGGCTTCAACCGCGGCGAGAAGGACGGCCAGCAGGGCATCTTCTACCGGGAGTGGGCGCCCGCGGCCAAGGCGCTGGCGCTCATCGGCGAGTTCAACGGCTGGGAGCCCAAGGAGAACCACTGGGCCTCCAAGGTGGGGCCGACCGCGGCGCCAGCGGGGCGCGCTGCGGCGGCGGCGGCGCGGCGGGGGCTGGCCGCACATGCGGGCACCGGGACGAGGGGCGGGGTATCATGTGCGTGTGCGGGGTGCACGCGCGGACGGCAGCAATGCGAGCTGCTGGTCTGCCGATCGGGGTTTGTCAGGGGAGGGTCGCTCCGAGCCGGGGCATCTCCCGCCACCTTTCAGATCAACCCGCCCTCCCCCTACCCACCCACACAACACAACACACACGCCACCACCGCTGTGCGCGACGCCCATCTCCCCTGGACCTCAGAACGAGTTTGGTGTGTGGGAGCTGTTCCTGCCCAACGGCGCGGACGGCACGCCCGCCATCCCCCACAAGTGAGGCGCCTGGCAGCTGCCGGCCAGAGGGGGCAAGGCCGGGATGGCGGCCGAGGCAGCGGGGGCTTCGGGGCGGCATCCGCTGCTTAACAGGATCGCATGCTGCGAGGCACTGGTAGCTGACAGCCATCGCCCTGCAAGGCTCGCACTGGCACCTCCAACACACGCGCACACTTACCTAGACACACGCATGTGCGGCTCTACACACACACACACTCTCACTCTCTCTCTTTCGTAACCGCCCCCCCGCCGCGTCGTCCCCCAGGACCAAGATCAAGGTGCGCCTCGAGACCGGCTACGGGGAGTGGGTGGAGCGCATCCCCGCGTGGATCAAGTGGGCCACCCAGGAGTGGAACGAGATCCAGTTCAACGGCGTGTACTACGAACCCGAGGAGAAGGGCGCGCCGGGGGAGATCGCGGCTGACAAGGCGTACACCTTCAAGTACCCGCGGCCGCCCAAGTGGGTCGCGGTTTTTTTGGGGGGGTCGAGGGGGTGGGGGAGCCGGCGGTCGGGCGGGGGTGGTTTGCGTCCGGGGTTGCGGGACTGGTGGAGGAGAGCAGGGTGCGGCGGAGCGGGGTCGGGGGTGCGTCTCAGGCGAGGCTTCACCAGGCGGGGTGCGTGGTGTTGGCGCAGCGGTGGTGGGCGTCCCGGCGGTCACGATGCCGTATGCAGCATGTCACGAAGCCGCCGCCGCCCGCCCCCCGCCAGGCCGCGCGCCCTGCGCATCTACGAGTGCCACGTGGGCATGTCCAGCCAGGAGCCCAAGGTGCGGGTTTACACACGCGCACACGCGCACGCACATGCGGGCAGGAGATACTTTGAGGGCTGGACAAGGCGCGCGGTGGTTCAATACACACCAGGACGCTGACATCACACACATGCCACACGTGCGAGCACACGCACACACACATGCGCGCGCGCGCACTGCGCGCCGCAGGTCAACTCCTACCTTGAGTTCAAGGACGAGGTGCTGCCCCGCATCCGCCGCCTGGGGTACAACGCCATCCAGATCATGGCCATCCAGGAGCACGCGTGAGCGCCGTGTGGGGACGGCACGGGCGCGCGCGGAAGCGATCCCCCGAGGCCCCGCTTGTGCGCCGGCCAACGCTCAGCAACGGGAGGGCGGGAAAGGTGTAGGTCAACTCCAGGGCCGCGCGCCGTGTCAGCCCGACTCCACCGCAAGAAGTCTGCCGCCCAGCCCTTCTCCTTGGGCTGGGTTTGGTGAGGTCCGGCTTGCCCCAACGCCTCATCCCTCGCGACCGCCTCGCAACCTCCCCCTGGCAGTTACTACGGCAGCTTTGGCTACCACGTGACCAACTTCTTCGCGGCGTCCAGCCGCTGCGGCACCCCTGACGAGCTCAAGGCCATGATTGACGAGGCCCACAGGCTGGTGGGTGGGACGCCAGGGGGGGCCGTACGGAGCGTGGGCTGTGCGGGCGTGGGTCTGGGGCGTGAGTGTGGGCGTGAGGGTGTTGGTTTGCGTGTGTGGCGGCCGTGTGTGTGCGTGCGTGTGTGTGGTGGCGTTGTCAAGGCTGGGCTGGCGCCCGGGCTTGTGAGCTGGGCGGACGGGCGAGTGTACAGCGCACAGCGGCAGGAACCAGGGCTGACCAGCATGCAGGGACCCGCGGTTTCGAGGGGCCCGCCCCGCAGCGTCGCATGCCGCAGCGCCGCATGCATGGCAGGTGGCCGCCCGGGGTCTCTGTCGCGGGGCCGCGGCGGCTCTCAATGCTGACGGAGGGGCTCGCCTTATCTCGCTGCGCCGTGCTCCTGAGTGACGCCGCGCAGCAGGGCTCGTGCTTGCCTCTGCCTTTCATTATCTCCCCCTCCCATACACACACACGCATGCAATTACCCAAATCACGCCTCACCCCACTCCCACCCGCGTCACCCCACCCCACCCCTCCACCCCTGAACAGGGCCTGGTGGTGCTGATGGACATCGTCCACAGCCACGCCTCCAAGAACACCAACGACGGCATCAACATGTTCGACGGCACGGGTGGGTTTGGGGGCTTTTGGGGTGGGGCTTTGATGGAGAGGGGGGTCAGGCTGGGTCTGAACAGAGTGCAACGTGTGTAGGGCGCGCGGCGGCGGGTTGATCGGATGTGTTGCTGCTCTCTTGAGTGGGCGGCGTGAGCCAGGGGAGGGAGGCAGGGGGTTAGCGCGGCCCCGAGCTGAGCAGCTAGCGACATGCCCTTCGGCTGAGCAGGGCGCAGGGCTGAGGGGCGGATCTGCACCCGCGCTGGCGCCTCGTCTGCGCGCTCTCCTTGCTCTCCCCGCCCAACGTCGTCCCCCTCACCGGCCCCGGCCCCCTTGTGTTGTGCGCAGACGCCCAGTACTTCCACAGCGGTGCCAGGGGCAACCACTGGATGTGGGACAGCCGCCTGTTCAACTACGGTGGGCCTGAGGGAGGGGTTGACCAGGGCAGCTTGGTTTGACCAGAGGAGGGGTTGGGAGGGCAGCGCCCCAAGGGGAGGGGCTTTGGTTGGAGGGGACAGGGGGGCGGCGCTGGGGCGGCTGCAGGCGGGGCGGGGCCCGCGGGTCACGGGCTGCAGCCCAGCAGCGCGCGCGCGGCTGCCCTCAGGC